GGTAAATCGAATTCCTTTTTGTTTCTCCCCTTGAACAGGTACCATAATTCCTAACATTTTTCTGCCAATGTGGTAGGCTGATGGGAGTTGTGGTCCAAAGCATTTGGAAGGCCAGTACAGTAGGGAAGATGGCACTCGCAATGTTGCTGGCATTAGACAGCCTCAGATAATTAAACTTTACTTTCTTTACCCAAAAATTAATTAGAAGCCCTTTTGAGATGGGCTTAGTTTGACAACCCATCAAATCAGCCCTTTTTATTTTGGAATTCTGCAAAGGTTTATTTACTGCCCTTTCTTTTGCTCTTGGCTGCTTTTACTCATCTGCTGATGATTAAATGAGATTTTAAAATAAAAAAATAAAGCAAGGAACCTGTTTTCAGAACTATTGATGAATCATAACTTGGGAAAGTAAGTAGATAAATGCAAACAGTTAAACACATACAAAAAAAACCACACATTCACCTAACTCTAGGTTACTTAGCTAAACTTTTCATCCAATAAACTTTTTCCCATCATACGACTACTGACACAAAGCAAACATTTCCCGTCTCCGTTAGCAATAAGATTAGAGTAGCTGCATTTACATTACTCAACACTGGTTACGTTCAGCTAATCCAGTGAATCGTAAGGGTTGCAAATTAGATTTGTGCAGCCTGCTAGGCTAAAATGTGGCTAGCGAGTTTGCAGCTCCCTGCTTCAAGCGAACAGTTTCTGGGTTCATAAAGAACTTTTTAAAGAAAGTACAGGTAGTCCTCGACTTACAACGACAATTGACGCCCAAAATTACTGATGCAGAGCGAGACAGATGTTAAGTGAATTTTGCCCCATTTTACAACCTTTCTTGTCACAGTCGTTAAGTGAAAACTGCAGTTGTTAAGTTAGTAACACGGTTGTTAGGTGCATCTGGCTTCTCTCACTGACTTTGCTTGACAGAAAGTCACAACGGGATCACGTGACCCCAGGACCCTGCAACTGTCACAAATACGAGTCAGTTGCCAAACGTCTGAATTTGGATCATGTGACCTGGGGATGCCACAAGTATGAAAAACAGTTGTGTCACTTTTTTTCAATGCTGTTGTAAATTTGAATGGTCACTAAATGACCTGTTGTAAGTCAAGGACTACATAATTGTGGGAATTGTGTTCTTAGCAGCCTCCGTTCTCTGGGCTCACTGTGCCTCGGTATCTCCAACTGTGATCTGGGTTTTTTTTTCTATCTTGAGCCAATTGCAACCACAGACCCAAATGTTTGAATGACTTAGGGTTGAGGGTCTGGGGATTCTAGGACCACCATCATATTTTCAAACTTCCTAAGCCTTTCCATCCCGTTGGGAGGAAACATTCCTTGGCCCTCCAACTGACAGCTCTTTGTTGTGTTTCACTGCCATGAGAAACAGCCAGCCACAAAGCCACAACTGAAAAGGAAGCACATTTGACTTGCAGCCGCTGACCCACATACTGTAATTCGGAAAGCTCATGCAATAACAACTCTGGCTGTGGGAAACCTCTCTGCAGCGCTGAATTCTAATTATTTGTCTGTGTTTGTTGTGTGTGTGTATGTGTGTGTGTGTGTTTTAAACAAACACATTTTTAAAGCTAGCTTGTCCACTTTTGGACTTTCTGGACAGGGAGCTTAAGTGCAACGCCCATTGGAGTCCAAATGGACATCTCTTCAGAAGAACATTTCCTGTGGATCTGAATGGCTGGTGGTGCAGACTCTCAAATGGTTCCCCCAAGTTTATCCATTATTCAGATGACCCTCGTTCCATTTTCTTGCAAGAGCAACACACCCAGTTTTCCAGATTTGTCCTGACAAAATCTCAGCAGGGAGAATTTGGAGAGACAAGGCAATAGGATCACCAGGCAGGGAATTATTGGGGGGTGGGGTGAGAGGGAGATGTCAAATGAAAAAATTGGACCTGCGTCTGTTCGTTAAAATTTAAAATTCAACTGCTAGTGGTTCATCTATTTGCCATAAATTGGACTTTGCTTTCCTGGGGTCCCAAATCTTTCTCCACTCCAGAAATTCCTCTCATCTTCCCTGACTTGGCACGATGCCCTCTCCAGTTGGCGCCCAACAATGTCTGACCTCTCATCTCCCCGATGGACCCCCTGCCTCCACTTCCACCCACCCCTCAAAAACCAGGGCTTACCTTTGGATGTCTGCACAGGCCGGATTTGGTCCGGAAAGCAGAGAAGTCCCCCCCCCCCGCACTCTCAAGCGGCCCCCTTTTGTGTTAGGGAAAGGGAATGTGAACAGGCAGCCAAGACTGGCTTGGTGGTGGAGGGAGGGGGTGGGGAAGCAGGATTGTTGAGAACGCTTTTGTCTTTCTGCACGGGAGCTGAAAGGCCACAACGGGGACACAGGGCAGGGTAGGGGAGAGACCAGCAGCCTTGCAACACCTGGGTTTTGTTTGCATTTTCCTGTCTGGCTCCAGCCGTACAAAAATCCCTTTCCTGAGATGCTTTGCAACCCAAGCCACTTCTTAGCCTACATTCATGGCTTGTGGAAGTCTTGGGGTGGGAGAGGGATGTTGGGAGCAAATGCCACACTCCCTGTGTTGCTTGCGTTGTGGGTCCGGGATGGGGTGGGGTGCCAATAACAGTGGGAAAGTTTGCATCAGTTTGCGACAGGAGAAGCCACCCCCGCCCATCTTGGGGTCTTTGTTAAGGTCTCTTCTGTGGAAATGTCATTTTTACAGATAGCCCTCAACTTACAGCCATTCGTTTAGTGACCTTTTGCAGTTCTAGCGGCACAGGCAAGAGTGACTTACGACCGTTTTCCCCACTTACAACCGTTGCAGCATCCCCAGGGTCACGTGGTCAAAATTAGGACACCCGGCCACTGGTGCGTAGTCACGACGGTCGCAGTGCCTCCCGGGGTCCCGTCCCCTTTTGCGACGTTCCGACCAGCAAAGTCAGTGGGGGGAGGGAATTCCCTGAAGGACCGCGTGGCTAACTTAACAAGGGCAGGGATTCACTTAAGAGTTGCCGCAAGAAAGGTCATAAAATGGAGTAAAATGGACTGCTTCACAACAGTCTCGCTTAGCAACGGAGATTTTGCTCTCAATTGTGGCGGTAAATCTAGAATTACCTGCATTTTATTCATTAATTAAACTTCTACGCTGCCCATCTTGCCTAGAGCTAGGTTTGGGGTCGAACGACCATTTCACGGGGGTCGCCAAACAACGCAGTCCGCCATTTTTTTCCCCCTTTTCCTTAGCTGTGCTACTCCCTTTTATTCTATTGGCTTTTGAAAGTCAATAGAATAGACTCTCTTGAATAGAGTCTAATTCTATTGGCTTTCCAAAGCCAATAGGAATTGTCCAGGCTGTTTCTGCCCTGCTGAGCCCGCCAAAAGTCCCATTCTGCAAACAGTGCTGCACCAGTTGAGTAGTCCTCGACTTACGACCGGTTGAGTAGTCCTCGACTTACGACCGGTTGGGGGTCGCGGCATTAAAAAGGTTGAGAACCACTGAGCTAGGTGGCCTGCAATCAATAAAACAGCAATATAAAACATTAAAATAATAAAACAGTAACAGTATTACTATTAGTAAACACTGGAAGCTTGGCAAGGAAGGGGAGGAGGTGGGTCCACCCCCAGAATGACACGGCCCCATCGGGGTCCCAAGCCAGTGAGCAGAGCCAGGTCTTCAGGCCCTTTCCGGAAGCCGAGGGCCTGGGTGCGGATCTCACCTGGGGGGGTAGGGGCATGATGTTCCAGAGGGGGGGAGGGGGATATAAGCATTTTCCTGCATCTCCTCTGAGGTTTTGGCTACTTGGCAGCTGCTGCCGGGGTCTTTCCTCCTGCTGGCAAAGGGGTTGTCATTGAAAAAAACCTGACAGGTGTCCATCTCCTTTCACCTCCTGCAGCCCCTGCCAAATGAGGGGAGGTGAAGGACAGGCTGGGCTCCTCGCAGCCTGACACCCGGGCGTCCTTTCAAGTCTGGGTTGGGGCTCAAGGAGGGACCCCCTGTTGCTGCTGTTCTTGGAAGGCTTCCCCCCCCCCCCCGCTTAACAGCTGCGCATATTGTAGGGAGCTGCAATCCCACCGGGGCTGACTGTCCCCCTGCAAAACACCTTTCCTGTTGGATGTCCCGTTGGATGTCTTTGAGGATCTGGGGGGGGGGGAGTATAGGATAGGATCTTCAGGGACCTGAAATGAAGTCACCAGGAAGATTTGCTGCTCGTGAAAAGCCCAGCATATACATTCTCCCAAATATGCCCCCCACTTAGAAAATGTATTGGGGAAATAAAACTTTGCCTATCCAAAAGGTTATAGCGTCTTTCTGGGGTTTCCATAAAATGAGGGGCAAAAAAGTCAAAATGGCGGTCACCACACTACATCCAAGGCAACACAGCTTCAATGGTAGCATTGTGTTTGCCCTCCTGGTTTTTCTGCGGGTGCCCATCCCGGCCCTGGCACGGCCCCAAATCAGCTCTCCCAGTGGGGACTTTTTCTGGGTGGAGAAGGCCTCCCGGCCTAAAGGTTGTGGAAGATGGGAATGGGATGATTGTGGATGGTGGGGCAGGAGGGGGATGCTGGGAGCGGAAAGGTTGTGGATGATGGGCACGGTGGAGATGCTGGGAGCGGAAAGGTTGTGGATGATGGGCAAGGTGGAGATGCTGGGACTGGAAAGATTGTGGATGATGGGCACGGTGGAGATGCTGGGACTGGAAAGATTGTGGATGATGGGTAAGGTGGAGATGCTGGGGGTGGATGATGGGGCAAGAGGGGGATGCTGGGAGTGGAAAGGTTGCGGAGGATGGGGCAGGACGGCAGAGGGATCCGCCGCTGCGGGCTGAGAGCACTCCGGAGGGGCGGCGAGGGTCTCCCCCTACTAGGGGCTGGGAAGGCGGGGGCGGCGGGGCAGGAGGGGCCAACGCCTCGGCTGGACGCCCCCCGCCCGCCGGGCAGCGCGGCCAGCAGAGGGCGGCCGGGGCTGGGCTGCTCGCGCGGAAACCCGACACCTCCGCCCGGCCCTCCGCCGCCTCCACCTCCCGCCGCCGCCCGCCTCCCGCCTCCTCGCCCGCGGCCGGGTTGCCACCCTGGGGCCGAGGAGCCGCGACCAGGAAGCGGCTGGCACCATGGGGAACCGCTGCGGCTGCTGCGCCGGCCGGTGAGTCCGGAGCGCCTCCGAGGGACGCTGGGCTGGCCCGGGAGGAGGAGGGGGCTCCGGGACCCCCACACGGGAGGAAAAACCCCCCCGCTCCCCCGGGAAAACCGCACCCTCTGCCCATGCACAGAGCGCCCGCGGCTTGCCCAGAGGCGCTCCTGCCGCTCCCCCCACCCAAGCAGGACCCCCGGCTGGTTGCGGGGCTCCAGGCTGGGCGGGCTGCGCTCAACGCGGAAGGTCTGGGATCCGGGAGAACGGCGGGGAGGCGTCGTCTGAATGCAGTCACCTCGAGTCGCGGGACAGAGGCCGAGACCTTCCCCCCCCGCCCCGGGACGGAGGGGAGGACGGGGCCCACCGATTTGAGTGGGAGGGATTCTGCGCCTCTGCCACCCCGGCAATCGGGCTGAGGGTGGGTTTTGTAGTCTGAGCGCGAGGGGCGAGGGGGGAACGCAGCGGGTTTCGGGGAGCGGCACTCGGCAGACACACACACAATCGCACAATCACACAATCACACACAAAGATGCTCCTGGGGCCATTGGCCAGGAAAGAAACTTACTTAAAGGGAGAGGGGCTTACCCCCCTCCCCCCGTTTTATGTGTGTGTGTGTGTGTGTGTGTGTGTGTGTGATCTGGGATTTTAGCTTCTAGACATCGGGTGTCCAACCTTGGCAATTTTAAAAAGTGTGGACTTCAATTCCCAGAATCCCCCAGCCAGCTGGCTGGGGGATTCTGGGAGTTGAAATCCACAAGGTCCTCAAGTGGCCATGGTTGGACACCCTTGCTCTAGTCTAGACTCTCTATTTTTGGGGGGGGGGAATGTCTCCTAAAGTTCAGCACCCCACACGGGGCAAATCTAGTTTGCTTTCTAGCCGGTAATTCTCTCTGGGAAAAGCGAAGTGGGAGCTCCGCTTTGCTTTTTTTTAGAAAAAAAGGAAAGAAAAAAAACACGCTTTTTAGCTTCGTGGGAAAGGCCGTCCAGCTGCTGGGTTTGGATGGGGCTCAATCAGCGGAAACAGCGTCACCTAGCGGAGATGTTCGGAAGCGTTGCACTGATTGGGGAGGGGGGTTTAATTCTAGCAATGAATCTTGGCTGGACGGGGTGGGTGGGTAGGTGGGGAGGGGGCCATTGCTTCCCTCCTTCCCATATGCCCATCTGGAGCCCCCAGAAAGTGACAAGGTTTTCCTTCGTCCTAATTCAACCCTCGCTTCCTATCCAGAATCCCCTCGAGTTCTGAGATGGGTGGCATATAAATTTAATAATAAAAGCTTATATATATATATATATTATATATATATATATATATATATATATATATATATATATATATATATATATGTTTTCTGAGGTTTTCGCGGGTGTTTGTATGTAGGTCTTTGGTTGTTCGGGTTTTCTCCCGCGTAAAATTGGAAGTGTCTTGGCGACGTCTCGACGAAGTCCCATTCGTCATCCTCAGGCTGGTGTTCTCAGCTTCGTGCTTCGAGCAGCAACACATTGCTGCTCGAAGCACGAAGCTGAGAACACCAGCCTGAGGATGACGAATGGGACTTCGTCGAGACGTCGCCAAGACACTTCCAATTTTACGCGGGAGAAAACCCGAACAACCAAAGACCTACATATATATATATATATATATATATATATATATATATATATATATATATATATATATATATATAATTAAATTGGAAGTGTCTTGGCAACCTTTCGACGAAGTCCCATTCGTCATCTTCAGGCTGGTGCGTTCAGCTTCGTGCTTCGAGGAGCAATGTGTGGTCTTAGCTGTTTCTTCCTTTTAACTGCCAGTGGGGGTATGAACTGATTGGGTGTGTACGTGTGTATGTGTATATGTGTATATGTGTATATATGTATACACATACGTATACACACACATACACATATTTTTGTTGTTAATTGCGAAGTCATGTCCGACCCATCGCGACTCCATGGACAATGTTCCTCCAGGTGTGTGTGTGTGTGTGTGTGTGTGTGTATATATATATATATATATATATATATATATATATATATATATATATATAATAAATCAATGCCACCCTACTGAATGGTTCCATAAAAAAATAACTCAGCGCTTATGGTATGTATGTATGTATGTATTAAATGTATATGTCTAGGTCAATGTTGACTTTTGGGGTTTATTCTTACATGGGGTAATATTCCTCAAGGTTTCACATTGACCCAGAATGGCATTTCTCAACCTCAGCAGTTTGAAGATGGGTGGACTTCAACTCCCAGAATTCCCCAGCAACATAGCTAGCTGGGGAATTCTGGGAGTTGAAGTCCACCCATCTTCAAGCTGCTGAAGTTGAGAAACCATCTAAGGGGGTGTGTGTGTGAACGGGCCAGACTCTGCCATCTATTCCTTTCCCTCCCCTACAAAGAGAAAAGCAATCTGGAAAACCGACCCAGGCCCTTTTCATTCTTTGCCCGAGATGCCAGTGATTTTATTCACTCAGATTCAAGGCCGAGCTATTTAAAGCAGCCTTGGCACCGACTTCCCCTGCTGTTCCCTGTTCCTAAAGGGCAACAGGCTTCTTTGTCTTTCGGGGAAGATGAAAAAGGGCTGCAGGGACTTCTCAGTTAGCCCAGGGACCCCCCCCCTCTGGGTGGGGAGAAAAATGTCCCTGGAAGGAGAAGAAGCTGCAGAAGAGCCTGTCCAGAGAAGAGGGGATCCCTGCTCGGAGGGCTGAAAAAAGGGGTCTTGCTGTCTCTTTGGGGCATCTGGGCAGGACGGGTTTGTTGGCTGTTGTGTCTGAATCCCCCCCCCCTGCCCTTTTTTCCTGGAGGGGGGCTGAGGCTACAGGGACTAGAACTGGGCAGCTGTTCAGCAGAAGTTCATCAAGCTGCTGTTTTGACTCGCTGCCCAGCTGCCCTTGGCATTTTATGGTGAAAGAAGGGTGGGGATGGGGCCTCCACCACAGCCCCCCCCCTTCTCCTTCCCCCAACACCCCTTAGTAGCTTTCTATAAGCAGCCGAAGACCAGGTTGCTCCAATCTCTTTAAAGAGCTAAATCACTTCAGAATAACAGAACAAAATAACAGAGTCAGATGGGACCTTGGAGGTCTTCTAGTCCAACCCTCTGCTCAGGCAGGAAACCATTTTAGACAAGTGTCTGTCCAGTCTCTTCTTAGAAACCTCCAGAGCGTCCACAACTTCTGGAGGCAAGTCGTTCCACTGGTTAATTGTTCTCACTGTCAGGAAATTTCTCCTTAGTTCCAGGTTGTTTCTCTCTGTGATTAGTCTCCATCTGTTGCTTCTTGTCCTGCTTTCTGTACACTTCTGTACACTTTTCTAATCAGTGTGTTTTGTACACACTCTTTCTATTACAAAAAGTCCTGTTTTATTAATGTCAGGTTCCAAAACCAAGAACCGCATGCAAAATAACATCTAAGTAGTTCCCTTTATTGTTCTTCACCTGCCAGACTGAAAATTACCTGCATCCTTAAAGATACAGGGAGGAGCTGACTTGACCTTCTTCCTCCCAACAAGTTACCTAAACTGAATCTCTCCCCCCCCCTGCCCCCCAGCCCCCCCAGCCCCGCAATGAAGCTCAGAGCATCTCATGCAGGGGAGAGATTTTCAAAGACTCCCTACACAAGAATGCTGCAACCAGTCGCCATTCTGGGATCACTAACAGCAACGTCAACAACAAGACAAAGCAAACGGCATTTTTTTTTTAAAAAAAATACTGTATTTAAAAGAGCGTCTGGCTTTCAGAAGAGATAGACCGGTTTTGGCTAAGTAGAGCAAGGTAGCGAATTCCCTGCACTCTTTAATTTCTTACAGTGCAAGTTATCAGACCTCTATTCTTTTATTTTTTTAAATCTGATTTTCCTGTTCCTGGGAAACTCAAAATAGAATTGAATGTGAAACTGAACAGGTAATTATTGAGAAAGTCATCCTTATGAACCAAGCTGCTGCCAAGCCCCAGGACGTAATAATGTAGGGAGTCTGAATATTGTAAGAGGTGGAGACACCTAGAAAAGAAAACCCCAAAGGAGGAAGGGAATGATTTGAAGGGCTAGCAGGGAAATTTCCCAATTTTCATGCATCTTTCTTTCTTTTCTGCTAGCAACTGCCCTTCGCTATTGAAGAAGGAAAAAGAAAAACCAGGTAAGCAGTAGAGAGGTATTGATTAATTTATCCCATTCACAGGACAAAGTGAGACTGGATAGCCAGCATAAAATGGCAACAAGGCAAGAAAACCATCATGACCACCGGTTGGAGGGGGCTGGATAGATGTGACAGGGATCTGGGAGAGGAGAGTGCAGGAATATTCCCGGTGAAGGAACATCTGAATTCAACCTATCCGCTTAGGCATCATTTTCCTGGGAGTAAATAAAAACTGCAGGGGGAAAACTGATTCTTGCAAAACCCCTTGGGGGGGGGGGAGTGTTTGCAAAGAAACAAGCAGAAAATTCCAGCATTCTCAGGATCCTTCTGCTGGGCTGAACGTTGCCATGGGCACTGTAGTCCAGGATACCTTGAGGGTTCCTGCAAAACGATGGTTTGGGACCTATTGGGTTAAAAATTTGCAAAGGGCACAATGAAGGCTGCTGGCACTCAGCTGAGGATTAGGACTGCTCCACCACCAATTGTTGTTTTAAGTGGTTTCTCTCTCTCTCTCTCTCTCTCTTTTTTTTTTTTTTTTTGATGGCTTTATTTCACCCTGAGAATTTTAGCTAGGGGGCAATTCTTTCCTTTTTGCTTAGAAACAAAGGAACAGCTAATTAGGAGTCTGCATTCACACCAAAGAATGCTTGAAAACTTGCATTCTGAGAAGGCAAAAGAACAACCCACAACATAATTTTGCATAGTTCGTATTCAATCAAGGATTTTGAACTCCAGGATCCTTGGTTTCAGATCTCCGGTCCAAGGGTTAAATATGATTCTAGGTTTAAAGATATTCTTCGCCAGGTGACCTGTAGAAAGTTCACTCTCTTCTTGTTTTCCAAGATTGCCCCAAATTCACGGAGACTTCCTGATTTCCCTAAATACGAGCCACATCCGCTGGCAGTTTTCAGATTCAAGGCTTTGGGATTTCAGGGGGCTGAATGATGTCAATTCAGCTTTTTTTTTTCTGTCTTACAGATATTAGAATCAGTAAGCCGAGTTTACAAACCCCGGAAATCAACAAGGTAAATAAATTCCCTTCTCAGGGAGAGGACTTCCTTTTTATTCTATAATTAATTTTTACTGACCAATGATTTACACAATAAAAACAGGATTGAAGTGAGGGGTCCTTGTCACTCTCTGAGTTTGGTTGTTTTCTCGCAGACATTTCATGACCCAACTAGGTAATATCATCAGTGCTAGAAGGGAATGGGGTTTGTTGGGAGGAGGAGGAAGAGAATTATTGGGTCCTTGGTGCTCTCTGAGCTTGGTTGTTTTCTTGCAGATGTTTCATGATCCAAACTAATTAACTTCATCCGGGCATCACTTTATCCCATCCTTCCTTAACCTGGTGATTCCTCCAGGTACATTCCCACCCTCGCCCTCCCTGGTCCCCACAAATTTGGCTTTTAACATCCTGCAAGATCTGTTTTCCCAAGACAATGAGAATTTAATGCCAAACATTTGTCCTAGGGGTACAAACTGTGTTCTTATGTAGCTCGCCTTTCTGGAGGGCAGAGTTTTCCCAATATGTTGTGCTCCTGTTAAGGAACGGAGAGGGAGCGCCAGTTGGCTTTTAAACTACTTATTTCTAAAAGTTAGTCTGAGCCTCAGTGATTTGATTTTTCTTTCTCTCTTTGCTAAGGGTCTTGACGTGGCCCCCGTGTACGATGATGTCTCGGAGTTCCCGGTCTATGCCATGGTGAGCAAGCCGAAGAACATGAAGCTCAGTGAAAGCAGCGTGCATTACGCCGATATCCAGGTTTTCACAAAGAGCCGCGAACGTTCAGCTGAGGAGGTGAAAAACCTCCAGTCGCAGAATGCAACGGAATACGCTACCCTGAATTTTCCCCGAGCCCACCTGAAATATGACAACAAGAACGGGACTCTGGTATAAGTGCCGAAGATGCCATTCTGGAAGAAAATAGACATCAGACACTGCAGGTGCTCAGTTGGTTCAAAAAAAAAAAACCCCGCTATCTGGGTCAGGTCAGAATGCACTCGTGGGAATAAGGTATTTTTTTCTTGGGTCTGCCGAGAAAATGAGCCCTTTGGGCAGTGGAATAAGTGATGTTTCTGAGGAAAAATGGCTTCATGGATCGTGTTACCAAGCAAGGGGGCAAACTGGAGGACGAAGCCCAGCTGATATGTGGAGTAAGCAACATAAAGCTTCACAAGATTTTTTAAAATCTTCTCCAAGCAATCATTGCAGGATGTCTTTATATCAAGAGAGCTTGGTTTTGATATAAGGAGGGAGGATGCACACTACAGAAACCTTTTGAGGGGTCTTCATTTGAACATTCAATCCCAGCTGCAGCAATTCCTGGGGCAAAGGATCTGTGAAACTTTTGCGGGTGCTGGGAAATTTTCTTCCAAGAAATTGGTACGAATTTTCTTTGTCTGAGTAACAAACGGGTGATTCCTTCGGCAGCTCAGCTCGTGAAAAAAAAAGAATTATCCCTTTTCTCCTATGGAAGCACCAAACTGAAATGGCAAGCTGACTCCGGATGACCCAGCATCACTGCAGAATGACCGATGAGATTTTCGACAAGAAAGGATCCCCAAGGCAAGTTCCATGCAGTGGAATGGATCCAGGAAAAAAAACAATTACAACGTAAAACTAATGCAGGTCCCTCACATTCTAAAATTTAGCCTATTTTCAAGGAAAAGAGGATCAAGGCATCCTGCTCCCTTCTGGGTGTGTGTACCCTTGGAAAGAAATGTTTTGGAAAAGGGGCGGGTGAGGACTTTGGCAAAAAGGGGCGAGCTCTTCACTTGTCATCTTTCTACATGGCAAGATCCGTGACCTATCATTCTCTAAAGCAGTGATTCTCAGCCTTGGCCATTTTAAGATGGATGGACTTCCCAGAATTCTCCAGCCAGTGTGGATCAGACAACAGAATAACAATAATAGAGTTGAAAGAGATCTTGGAGGTCTTCTAGTCCAACCCCCTGCTCAAGCAGGAGATCCTATACCATTTCAGACAAATGGCTGTCCAATCTCTTCTTGAAAACCTCCAGTGATGGAGCACCCACAACTTCTGGAGGCAAGTTGTTCCACCAATTAATTGTCCTCACTGTCAGGAAATTCCTCCTTAGTTCTGGGTTGCTTCTGTCCTGGTTTGGTTTCCAGCCATTGCTTCTTGTCCTACCAACAATGATGGTGGTGAAAAGAGAGGTCAGCAGAAAAGGATGACCATTGAAGAGTCTGGCACAAGGGGTAATCCTGTGGGTCATCATGCTTACAAAAAGTCATGGGAATCTTTTGGATCACTCCATCCCTTGCTAAGCCAAAGAAGGGTCAACTCAATACTCCCCAACTCCTCTAGAGCCATGGGACTACAACTCTCCAATATTTGGAGGACATTCAAATGGAGAAGGATAGCCCAATGGGTATAATAGACTCTCAAATGGACTTGCAATGTCGGAAGAGTAAAACAGCCTAAAGAAATAACCCCTGGCTCTTTTGCTTTGCTGTTGGATACACACTATTGTTGAACTTCAAAATATTGTCACAAATAAGTTGGTCTGTCAAGTTTGTTTATCTGTTTGTTTTCACAGCTAGTGAAACTAGGAATGGAAGGTGTGAAATTTGTTTTCCAGATCCAACATTGGACTCTGTTGAATAAATAGGGATTGGAGATATATCTGTCTGCTTGCTGTGGAAAGTATAGGAAGAAAAGCTTCTTTTATCTGCAGCTACTCTGCGGAATTTTTAGCTTAGTTTACACCTTTGGCTATAGAGGTACAATATATTTAACAGCTAATCCAATGCTTTGTGAAGAAGAACAAATAAATTGCCCTAAATAACAGAGAAAATAGCTTTTTTAAAAAAACAAGCACTATATAGAAGATATGTGATTCCCAATTTTGTTCTAAAAAGAGTTTCCCCAATAATTTATATTTATTATTTGCACTGAATTTTATCAATCATGAAGATACATTATCTGTGCTTCCGAATCCTATTTATATTTATTGAACTGGATTAGAAATTGGGGTGGGATCTCTCAGTGTTTGACCAGCTCAAATATTATTTTAAAATGATCACAGCGCTAGTCCTCAAGGCAGCAGAAAGAATCTAAAAGATATTGTAAAGCATTTTTTTTTAAATTTCTAAACTGTATTTATGACTTTAAAAGGTTTTCTCAGGATTTTGAATATTGAGATTCACAATGACAAGACAATAATTATATTTAATTTAAAAATAATTTGGTAAACACTGACAGAATTTTAGTGCAATATAAATGAAATATTGGAGAAGACAGTATTTGCACAGAGGCTGAAGTATGAGGACACTCCCAACTTAAAATAAACTGGGCAATAAAATAAATATCAGTTATTTTAATGTTCAGTTGATGCAGTTATGGTTGGACACGAACACTGGCGTAAGCCATCAGCCATTCAAAAATAGAGCTCCAGGGTGAACGATTGGAAGCATCACAACTAAATATGAGAATATTGCATGCTGTTTTTTAAGCATTAAATCCCACTTTAAGGTAGCAGTTTTCAAGCTAATTTATGCAACACTTTTACCGAAACAGCACAAAAATGTCCTTTTATAAAGAGTTGGCACCTGTAAACCCTATGAATTCTATGTGAATGCAAGCAGGCTGATCACATTTTTAATCTGAGCCTCGGAGATATAACCTTGCAATAATTATCCTTCAATATCAGGGTTAATTTTTAGCCAGTCTCACTGATATGTTATGAATTGCTTAGAGTATTTCAGCCTGAACAGATCTCATTCTGGCCTTCTAAAGTCCACAAGAACGTATGTGGGTGAAATGTTTCTCTAGAACCTCAGAAGGGAGTTTTTGTTTTGTTTGTTTTATTTTGGTCTCTTGTTTCTGCTGGTGTTTACTTTCACACACGTTTTTCATAATGAACAATTCTTGATGTGAGCACAGGCTTTTATCTTTTATCTTGCAAATAATTGAAGTAACTGGAGAGTTTCCGTTGGCAAAATCATAATAAAATGGAGCAGTTACTCTGTTAAACATTATATGAAGGAAATGGATTCTGGGATCCTTTTCAGCAGCCGTCAAGCTGGAAAGAATTAAAATCTGCGTATCCCCTTTTTCTAATGATCAATATTTGTACGATGAATAGTTTAATAACCTTAGAAGTCCTACTAAGAGGAAAACTTTCTGGAAAGTAAGTCTGTGTCTTGAAAGGTCTGTTTTCTTCCTCCTTTCGGTGTTTAGAGAATTATTGGAGATAGTTAATTTCCTGGTTCCTGGTTCCTGAGCTGCACCTTTTATTACAGAAAAATAAATATTTTTTATAGTTAACCCTGTGCTGATTTTATTGTGGGAAAAAAATGTCATGCTTTCCCTGGATTTCGTTTCTCCTTCCTTCCTTCCTTCCTTCCTTCCTTCCTTCCTTCCTTCCTTCCTTCCTTTCTTTTTCTTTCTTTCTGTCAGCTGTCCTCTGCTAGCTGCCGACAAACTCCAGACACAGAAGGAACAGGTGACCAGCAAACTTTAATGCAAAGAAAAAGTCAGCACTGGGAGTGAATTGCTCCTAGTGCCTTACATAAACGGCCCTCCAGCCCCACCCCAATCAGCAAGCCAGCATCCGATCTGTATGGATAAAATCCGTAGCTCAAGTTCCGCCTTCCCCCCCTTCAGATGCATCAACGCAGCCTCCGCAGCCCCAGCTGTCCTGCCTGGCATCCATCCAATGCCCAGTTCTGGCATGGCACCACAACAGGTAGCTCTTGTCCATGAGGCCATGGCCTCTCCAGCAACCAGCACCTTCCCCGTGCCACCGGCCCTACAGGAGGAGCGGCAACGACAAGAGACGGCCTCCCGACATCCAGCCGGCTGGCTCCATCACCCAGTTGCTTTCCGGGGATTCCCCTGTGTCTGGTGCAAGTGAGCAGTGGCTGCGGCGAGCAGTGAATCCCCTGGCGTCCGGCAGGCCTGCCTCCGATGCCCAGCTGGCGGTAGGGATGTCCCCGGCATCTGTGGCAATGGAGGGAGGCGGCCACGGTGCACAGCAGCCTCACCGGCTCCCAGCTGACCCTCGGGAGCCAGGTGGTGTCCGGCCAGCTTGCCGACTCCCAGCTGGTCTTCGGGAGTTGGGCGGCACCCCGGAGTGGCGTCCGGACCTCGGCTGGCTGCTGTTTCCCTGTCCCCCACCGGTTCATGCCAAGCCCAGGGGCTTGACAGGAGGCCCCTTCTACCAAGGCCCCACCTGGAAAGCAAGCAGACATAGGTGAGCATATGACAACTCTGTTGGGCCCCTCTGCCGACCCACCCCCTGGCCTCCCAAGGTGATGAAAAGCCTGCACTAGCCATGGGGCGTGGACATCCCCACTCTGCACCCACGATGCCTCCAAGACGGGGTACCCTTTCCATCTTACCAGGTATTGGACTTGTCCATGGTGGATCCGGGAATCTAGGATCTCCTGTATTTCGAACTGGTCACCAGAAACCAGGCCTGCTGGCTTAGTTACAGGCCCCCTTGGGGAACCAATCACCAGCTTTAGCAGGCTCCCATGGAACACAGAGTGCACCTTCCCAAAGGCCTGAGGCAGCCGCAACCACACGGTTACCGGGTTTATGACCTGAATCACCTTGAAGGGACCTATGTACTTGGGGCCCAGTTTCTTACAGGGCACCCCCGAACATAGGTACTTGGTGGACAGGTACACCCAGTCACCCATCTGAAAGGGCTTGTGCTCGGCCTTTTTTTATCAGCCTGCGCTTTCGTTTCTGCCTCCGCTTTTACAATGCTTCCTTAACCCTGCCTCACAGGCCTTCCACTCGTGCCATCCACTCCTGAGGTGTACACAGCAAGGGGGACCCTTGGGGCCACTCAGGTATCGGGATGAAATCCACCCCATGCACCACCTGGAAAGGGGCGAACCCTGTGCTGCTATGCAGTGTTGTTGTAGGCCACTTCGGCGAATGGGAGCAGGTCTACCCAGTCTGTTTGCTGATATGACACATAACATTGTAGGGAGCACTCCACCATGGCATTTGCTCGCTCAGCCGTTCCCTTGGTGCTGGGGTGGTATGCCGAGCTGAGACCTGGGATGACCCTATGTATCTAATGAAGTCCCACCAGAATTGTGCGGTAAACTGCACCCCCTGATCCAATACAATACGCCGGGAGACTCCATGGGGACAGTAAATATGGTCAATGAACAACCTGACCAATCACGGGCTGATGGTAGCCCCTTGCATGGAATAAAATGGGCCTGTTTGGGAAACAGGTCAGTCACAGTCCAGATAACGGTGTACCCTCGGTTCTCTGGTAATTCTACAATAAAGTCCATGGCAATATCCTCCCATGGCCGGGTTGGATCTGCTACTGTCTGTAATAAGCCCAAAGGCTTTCCAGTACGGGGCTTGGCAGTGGCACAGACATGGTATCCTTTTACATAGACCTCTACGTCCACTTTAACCCGAAATCACCAGAATTGACGCTGCACGAAGTGTAATGTTTTTAGGAAGCCGAAATGGCCTGCCTGCTTGGCGTCGTGACACCACTTGAGAACCACATGCCTCAGGAGCTCTGGGATGTACAATTTGTTGCCTTTCCAAGCCAACCCGTCCTTCTGTGTCAGGAGGCCTGGGTGGTCCCTCAACCAGGGATTGCTCTGGACGGCCATTTGTAGTTCTTGATTCAGATCACCCACCAACTGGTGAGGAATCACTCGGGCCACGCCCTGTTGGCAGGGAGGCATGATCGCTTGTACAACCTCCTCCCGCCTGCTATGGTACTGGGACATGCGGAACAACGCATCGGCCAAGAAGTTCTTTCCTCCCGGTACATACTTCAGGGTGAACTGGAATCAATAGAAGTATTGGGCCCACCAGACATGCTTGGGCAACAGGTGTCTCGATGTCTATAGAACCTCAAGGTTCTTGTGGTCTGTCCACACCTCGAATGGCTTTGTTGCTCCCTCCAGCAGATGCCTCCATGTCGACAGAGCCCACCGTACCGCAAAGGCTTCTTTATCCCAAATTGCCCACGTCCTCTCAGCAGCCGAAAACTTCCACGTGTACGCACATGGCTGCAACAACCCTGGGGCCATTCTGTTGTAACAGCACAGCCCCCACAGCTACATCACTGGCATCGGCCTGGACTACGAAGGGGCTTTCAGGATCCGGGTGGAGTAGGACCGGTTCCTTGGCAAACAGGGCTTTCAGGTCCTCGAACGCTTTCTGACAGGCCATAGACCACTCTAGCAGCTGTCCGGGACGTGGCTTACTCGTGGTGTACTTTGTGCGTAGCAAGTCAGTCAGGGAAAGGGCTATCACGGCAAAAGAGGGGATAAATTGCCTGTAAAAATTGGAGAAGCCCAGAAAACTTTGTAGCTGACGATGAGTGCGGGTTGCCTGCCACTCTAACGCTGCTCTCACCTTGTGTGGGTCCATCTCCACACCATCCCCTGATATCCTGTAGCCCAAGTAGTCCAGCCGGGCCCGGTGAAACTCACATTTGGAGAGTTTCACAAAGAGGCAGGCGTCCAACAGTTTCTTCAGTACCTGCCTGACCAGGTGGACGTGTTCCTCCAAGGTGGTCATATATATGAGGGTATCGTCCAAATACACAAGGACACCGCGGTATAAGTGTTTGTGCAACTCCTGGTTGATAAGTTGCATAAATACCGTGGGGGGCCCCTGCAGGCCAAAAGGCATTATACGGAATTGATAGCTGCCAAGTGGGCAGTTAAAGGCCGTCTTCCATTCATCACCGCTCTTTATACGGACTCTGTAGTAGGCCTTCCGCAAGTCCAACTTCGTGAACACACGCCCCGTACCCAGGTGGGCCAGGAAGTCTTTCATCAACGGGAGTGGGTATAGGTGCTCCACACAAACCATGTTAAGCCCGCGGAAGTCCATACAGAACTGAAAGGAACCGTCCTTTTTCTCCTTAAGCAGGACTGGGGTGGCTATCCATGACCGAGATGGTTGGATGAACCTCCGGGCCAGGTTCTGGTCGATATAACGTCGTAGCTCCTCCAACTCCCTGGCCGTCATGGCGTACATCTGGGGCTTGGGCAATTTTTATTTCTTTCTTTTCCTTCCTCCCTCTCTCCCTCCCTCCCTCCCTCCCTCCCTCCCTTCCTTCCTTTTCTCTTTCTCTTTTTCTTCTCTTATCATCAAGGTGGATTGCCAGTTGGATTAACCCTTTCTGACCCGTCTTTTAGCAGCTGCAATGCATTGATGGTAATAATGTCAAAAGTGGACGTGAAAATGGGCCACCGCCACGACCTGGCCAGGTCTTTGTGGACCCAGGTCGGCAGGTTGCTCTGTCCATTCCCTGGGTGGGCTTTGTGCCCCAAGGATGGTTACACGCATCAAATATTTATATATTAAGGTACAACAACTGAGCCCAACCTTTCTGTTGTTAAATGAGACATTTGTTAAGTGAATTTTGCCCCGTTTTATGACCATTCTTGCCACAGTTGTTAAGTGAACCACTGCAGTTGAAAAGTTAATAACCCGGTTGTTAAGTGGATCTGGCTTCCCCCCCCCTTGACTTTGCTTGTCAGAAGGTCACAAAAGGGGATCACGTGGCCCCAGGACACTCACTGTCATAAGTATGAGTCAGTTGCCAAGCGTCTGAGTTTTGATCACATGGTCATGCGGATGCTAGAAAGATCATAAGTGTGAAAACAGTCACAAGTCCCTTTTTCCAGTACCGTTGTAACTCTGAACGGTCACTAAACAAACTTGCAAGTCGGGGACTACCTGTATTCATCCCATGCAAGGAATACAGTTGTAAGAATTGGGTGGTGGGGCAGATTTCCACGCTGCCACCCCACTCTCCAAAGCAACCCCAGGCAGCTTGCAATACAATAGAAATACAAAAAGAAAAAAGGTCCAAACAGGAGCACAATTCGAATGACAGCAATGCAGACTGAAAATGGAGCCCTGGAGCCAGTTCGGGTTGTGTGTTTTGCTTTTGGCAATAGAATAGAATAGAGCTGGAAGGGACCTTGGAGGTCTTCTAGTCCAACCCCCTGCTCAAGCAGGAGACCCTATGTCCTTTCAGACAAGTGGCTGTCCAGTCTCTCCTTAAAAATCCCCAGTGATTTCTGGAGGCAAGCTGTTCCATGGTTAATTGTCTTCACTGTCAGGAAGTTTCTCCTTAATTCCATGTTGCTTCTCTCTTTGATCAGTTTCCAACCATAGTTTCTTGTCCTGCCCTCTGGTGCTTTGGAGAATAAAGTGACCCCCTCCTCTTTGTGTTAGCCCCTCCCCAAATACTGGAATTCTGCTGTCATGTCACTCCTGTTTCTTCTTTTCTCTAGGCTGGCCGTTCCCAAATCCTGCAGCCATTCTTCTTATGTTTTAGTCTCCAGGCCTTCAATCCTCTTAGTTGCTCTTCTCTGCACTTTTTCCAAAGTCTCACCATCTTTTTTGTAGTATGGTAACCAAAAGTGTTTGCAGTCTTCCAGGTGTGGCCTTACGAGGGCTTTATAAAGCGGTACTAATCTTTTGCGCTCCAGCAACCAGCCTCTTAGCCCATCATCGCTGCAAAAAGAGGGGTTGGGCTGTGGGGGATTTAATCTGGATTTTAAAAATAGGCTTCCTGCAAGAAGCCCCAACCGAGCAGGGAGGATGGGCTTTGCGGTCCAGCCGCCAGGGGGCGCTGCGGCGCGCATCTCCACGGCAACGGGAACGCGCTGGGATGGCCGGCTGCTCCCGGGAGGCGATGCAACCCCGCCGGGCCGGGCCTCGCGTTGCTGCTGGCGGGGAGACCCCGAAGGTGCGTCCCAGGGGGACTGGGGGGGCCAATGTTGGATCCCCGGGGTCCATGGGGGCCGGCGCCCCGAGCCCGGCGGCCCCCGGCAGCCCCAGAGCCTCCCCTGCCGGGCCAGGCCGCTTTGCCAAGAAGGGAGGGGGGGTTGCAGGGTTGCAAAAGTTTGGGGCCCCCACAGGGAACGGACTTTGCAATATTGCAAAAAATGGGGGGGAACAAGGAATGGACTTTGCAGTGTTGCAAAAATAGGGGGGCAGCAGGAAATGGTCTTTGAAATGTTGCAAAAATTGGGGGTGTAGAGGACCAGCAGGGAATGGATTGCAATATTGCAAAAATTGGAGGGAGGGGGGAGCAGGGAATGGACTTTGCAAAGTTGCCAAAAAATAGGCCGGCAGCAGGGAAGGGGTTTGCAGAAACCCGATTGTGAGTGGTCAAGAGTTGTTGGATTTAAAGATGGAAGGAAGATGTTGGGTAGGGTGGGGGCTCTTTGGGGGAGGTGGAGATTGCAAAGCTTTCTGCTTTATTCCCTTCCCCCTCCCCTGTAGAAGATTTCTGTGCTGGTCTTCCAGTGGAAAGCTTTGCAAACTGTCCCTATGAATAATCCGTGGGGAAGAGTGGATATTAGGAAACTTAAGGGTGACAAATGTATGTATCTTATTGGGGCATGTTTGTTCCTTCCAATTTATTTTTAATCCCCTGATTTTAGCTCAGGAAAGCACCAGCATTTGATACCTCTAATTAAATGTAATTATGAATTATTAAACTGTTAAATTTAGTGCTTTCATATAAGCATGGAGAAGAGCCTGTAATATATCAGGCTTATTAGTTAGGGTTTTAATTTATATATATATATATATATATATATATATATATATATATATATATATATATATATATATATATATATTCTTTTTTAACTTATTTATACATATATATTCCTTTCTGTGGAAAGCAGCATTTTAAACGAGGCTCTGTGCATAGAAAGAGCAAAGAGTCAGCAATAAGAAATTTAATAAGGCATAAGATCACTTTTACAGATGCAATCTAGATTTTTTTTTTTTTCCTGATGGTGGAATATAACTTCAGGGATGGAAAAGGAAAACTGTATGCAGCAGATACATTCACAAAAATTAATCGGTAAATTGCTACACTACAATAAATAAGTTTTGACACTGAGGAGAAATTTTTCAGGGGCCTTCCATAGTCTCAGAGGAACATTTAATTTTTGTCAGTGTACAATCTGGCTGTAAATATAAGAGCCCTTTGCCAGATAGTCCTTGATTTACGACTGAAATTGAGACAAGAATTTCCATTGATAAACGAGGCGGGGGTCAAGTGAGTTGCACTTGATTTTAGGACGATTTTTGCCAAGGTTGTTAAGTGAATCACTGCAGCTGTTGGGTAAATCATACGGTTATTAAGTGAATCACTGTAATTGAGTGAATCACGCTAATCAGCTTTTCCCATTGACTTTGATTGTTAGGAAGGTCGCAAATGGTAATTTATATATTATTATTATTATTATTATTATTATTATTATTATTATTATTAAAATTTATTGGCCACCCATCTTACCACAGGGTAACTCAAGCATCTGACATAAATACATGCTGGTTGCCAAGTGCCCCAGTTTTGATCACATGATCATGGGGATGCAGCCATGATTGTAAGTCTGAGGAGTGGGCTTGTCACTTTTTTCAACCTACAACTTCAGTGATTGCAAGCTGAGGACAGCTTGCATCCCTGAAGGAGTCTGGCAACTTCACCTTCTCAAATGTATTAAAGAGATGCTCTCTCAGACTGTTCCTGATGTTCTACTCCAGGGTTTCCCACCCTTGATGACTTTAAGATACATTGACTTCAACTCCCAGAATTCCCTGGCCAGCATGTATGGACCAGGGAATTCTGGGAGTTGAAGTCCACCTGTGCTGCATGGGGAATTTGGGGAGTTGAAGTCCACACCTCTTAAAGTTGCCAAGTTGGGAAACCTGTTCTACCAGCATAGACTATCATGGTTCCCCTGCAACATCTGCTCTACACGCACCTGCTTTTTATTTGTCGCAGGTGGCACAGACAGCTTGAAGTCTTTAAGACCGAAAATGGACATCTCTGCTCGTCCGGGTTTCTAAGCGCCAGCATGGAGGCCCCAGCTGAGGAAGGAAGAGCTGGTAATCCATCACAGCCCAGGGAAACTTCAGTAAGTCTTAATACATGAAGGATTTGAAGGATAATACGAATAATAATTGATGAAGCCTGTGGGTAGCTTGCAACCAAATCTCAGCGACTGTGGATAGCTTGCAACCATCGAAGAAAGAAATTATGATAAAGTCAAGAAAAATAAAAATAAGATTAGAGCCAGGGCTAACCTGGGTCCTTGACTCCAGCTGATTGGGGTCCTTGGTGCCTTGCAATGCCCAAAAGAGCCTCCCGTGTGCCAAGTAGTCTATCTTCATAACGAGGGCAACCAATGCCTGGTACTGGTTAGGAGCAAAATACGGTTCGGTCTCACAAGGTAGCTCTGAAATTCTTACCATCAGATGATGCATTTTAGTTTTTAAGATATGCAGAGAGAATAATTAGGAATGATCTCTGAAAATACCCATCGCACAGGCTGTGTCTGAGCAAGCAAAAGAAGATATTTGGGGGCAGAAGGATTTATTTTATGAGATTCCACCAGCAGAGGTCATTATCAACCAATTGTGATTTTATATTTTAGGGAGCTAAGCGGTCTTTGCTGCTGTAAAACCACTGCTTGCTTTCCTTAATTTCTGCTTATTTGTGGCTCGGTTAAGTGGTATCTCTGTCGCTGCAGCCTTTACAGAAGTCCTTTCAGCTGAACGTTTGAAGTTTCTTTTTGGGATGGATAAAATATTTGGAATCAAAAGTTGGTGCAACTCACTTAAAAACTGCCTTAGTTAGCAGTGGAAATGTCCTAATTATGATCGTAAATTGAAGGGTTTTTTTCGGGGGGGGGGGTGTGTGTCTCACAGTAGGACTGGGGTGTCATATTTCCATTTCTTTTATCGCCCTGCCCATTCCTGTTGATAGCAGATCTCTTTCCTAAGCTGCCCTGAGCAGCTTTGCTCCAGTGACCTCATTTATTATGATTTTCTGGAGATGAATGAAAGGCGTTATTGTCCCCTTTCAGCCCAGGGGCAGATCCAGCCCTCCGGAAAAAGTCTATTTTCATTTGCAGAGAGTGGCGTCCAGGGATATTGTGCTCAGCAAACCCCGAGATCAATTTCTCAGCTTCCACCTCTTAAGACGAGCTTCAGATTTCAGGGTTTGACTCTTCAGCCCTTTGAAATCTCAGCCTGGCAGAGGAAACAACCATTTGAAGGAATCGAACCCTTTGGGGAAAATTGGAATATAAATCTTGATAAGGCTGCTTTTCATGGGAAGTTAAGCGAGGGATGTTATTTTTGAGGGGGATGTCTGCCTGCGTGTCTCAAATCAGCAGTAAGTTTTATATACCGTGGGTCTGGAATGACCCAGGCAGTCCTCAATTTACAGCTGGTTGCTTAGCAACCGTTCAAAGTTACGACAGACTCTCCTAAAGCTAGTTATTATAACCTTGTTTGAAAAGTATAACATCTGGGTCTTCCCCTGGTCAAGGGACTGAAGTTTGGATGCTCAGCAAGCAGCCCAACGTACAGCACAGCCCGTTTGCAGCACCCTGCAGTCAGATAATGGGTTTACTTAACAACTGTGATGTTTGCTTAAAAATTGCTACAAAAAAGGTCATAAAATCGGGTCTGGTCATGTGGTCTCCTGCTTTACGATAACTCCCGACTAATTGTGGGGCTCAATTACTGTTGTAACTCGAGAACTAAATGTTCTGAGCCTAAATGTAAAACCTTAAAACACGTCAGCTCATCAATATTGCCTCCCCTGCCCTGTTTGCGTCTCTTTCAGCATTTAAACTGCATTGAAGGGATTTCATCCTGCCAGCTCATTCTGACAGCAACCATCTCAGCAGAAATCTCGAAGGATTTCAGAGTTTATGATGAAAAAAATAGCTGTTTTTAAAAGCTACCCCCCCCCTCCCAGTGCTAAGGACTGGAGACAGCTGTCCCCTGTTTGCACTGAAAATTCCCTGGTGTCTTACACTAATCAGTCCAATTTGATTTCATTAGCTACGGTTCCCTTTTCCCGAGATTATATGAGGAGGGGACTTTTGACATGCTGCAGTTGTTAATGTTTCATGGTTGGGTTTTGCAGGCATTTTGACTAGACAATAATAAACATCCGTTTTTGTAATACGATATAGGAAGGTGGCTGCATGCAAGCATCCTAACTTCAGAAATGGTAAAAAGATTGTGTATAAATGTTCATTCCTGGTGCACTGAGATCTCAGAGGTTAAGAAGTGGAGATCTGATAGGTTTATTTTATAACATTTTAGGAAGTCCAGACTGCACTCAGACACATAAGTATGGACTGGTAAAGAATTAAGACCTATCTGTTTCAGTGTGTATGGTCATAAAACACATCAAAACGTCCTAAAATTAGGTTGTCACATGGCTGACCTGTTCTACAACCATTGTGTTGGTTATGACCATCATAACCTGAGAGGCATTGGGGTGGGCAGGTTAAAATGTCAAGATGGTGGCTACAACAATGCAGCTGAACCCCCAATCTTTTTCAACATGCGTTGCACATGCGATGCCTGTGGGGGGAAAAAACCACTGTGCAATTCCAGACCCTCATTTTGAGTTTTGTTAACCCCAACCTGCAAATTCCCCTATTTTATTAGCGTTTATCCCATTTCTGTGCAGTTTCTTCTCTCGGAAGGTGCATATGGAAGCTTATTAAAGAACAAGCTCTGCTTGACTTTGGAATCTTTCTTTATAGCTGCCCTGAGTAGCTCAGACAGGAAAAGACAAAAATGTTTCCTTGGGTTGCTTGATCGAAAAAAAAAAAAGAAATGTATAGTCAGCCTCACATGGTGAAATGATTAACCCTTCATCTTCAGTGGCTCTGCAGACAGGATTATTCCTGGGCTGACCCTGATAATTCCCCATCTGTTTTCTCAACAGTGCTGAGAGACCCCACTCCCCATTAAATTGTTAAAAAAAATGGTTTTGTTAAAAAAAGGGATGCTTTGAAGAAGAGATTGGACAGCCTCTTGTCTGATATGGTAAAGTCTCCTGCTTGGACAAGGGGTTGGACTAGAAGACCTTCAAGATCCCTTCCAACTCTATTATTCTATATTGTAAAAAGAGAGAGAGAAAAAATTCAAAAAAGAAGAGAGAAGCAAAGTCATTTATTGTGCAGAACAAAAGTTTGTTTGCATGGTCCCATTTTTACTCATTACTCCAAACATGGCTGAAATATTAATTGCATCTTGCATTAACCATCCACTTCCTGGATCTTGCCATATTCTACTTTGATTATTGTCCCATTTTTGTGCAGACCAAGAAATCAATACTTTTCTACATGGTGTTACATTTATTGTATAATCTCCACTCTGATCTTCTGTTCAGCTCTGGGTTTTTTTAAAAAAAAACCTCTAGAAACACGCAGAAAAGAGTTAAGAAAGCAATACAATTCACAACCCGAAGATTGTTGGGAGGACCTTGCTTCATTTAGCTTTCTGAAACTACTCTGTGACTTGGTTAACGGTCATTTTAAATTACCTTTTATTGTAATATTTCCTTCATGTCCGTATAAAAAAATGCACGTAAAACTTTTCATTGCCTATTTCCATTAAGCTGGAATCCTGTTTTCCATTGGGCGCCCCTTGGAATCATGTAAATTCAAACAATGCGACCGTTTTGTGGCATTTATTAACTTCACTAATCGAGATCTTCCTGCAAGGCATTCTGAAGTTTGTGTTTACAAATAAATCAGGCGTACTTGCTGCTTGGGCTGACTTTCATCTTTTTCTTCCAGAGTTTCAAAGTTGGAAGTCCTGTTAACCTTTGGGCTTCTTTTAATTCTTTTTTTTTTTAATGCATTTCCCTTTTTAGCCAAGCTGCTTTGGACCTGCCCTCTCCACACCCTCCCCCCCTTCCTTTAAGTGCTCACAGCCTCCTTGCATCAGATGGAGAGAGAGAGGCGGCATATTCTGGAAATGTGTTGCAGATGTTTTTCCTGCCCTGTTCCTGGGACTTGCAGAAGAAGCTGTTCTGCGGAAACAGATTGGGAAGGCATCTGCCAAGCGGCTGCTCTCCTTGGAGCGTGCTCAGTGCGAGCCTTGACCTGGGGTCCAGGATCCCCTTTGCAGCCTGGGAGAGGTGGCTTTGTCTCCGGTGGAAGGAGGGGAAAGAGGGTCTTCTCCAAGGCAGGAGGACTTGCTCGCTGTGATCCAAGAACTCCATGCTTTGGGTGGGAGGGCGTTGTGAAAAATGCTCGCCTGCCTGGCCCGGGAAAAACTGTGGGATGTCGTGCACGAGAGCTTCACAGAGGTAAAGGATGCGTTGGCTTCATCCTCAGCGGTGCTTAGTTCCTCTTGGGGGTGCGGGAGACGTTGAAGGGAGTGGGGTTGGAGGGCTGGAGTAGAAAAGCTGGGCAGTTTTGCTGGTGCTTTGCAAAGAATCGTTCGTTTTGATGAGATTTCAATCGGTGTTTCTCAACTTTACTAACTTTGAGAGATGTGGACTTCAGCTCCCAAAATTCCTTGCTGGCTGGGGAGTTCTGGGAGTTGAAGTCCACACATCTTAAAATGGCTAAGATTGAGGAAAAATGGCTTAAATAATTCCTAGTTTGATGAGCATGGGGAGGCGGAACTGTAAAATTTGCAGTGAGGTTTTGTCCTAATGTGCGGAAACAGAATGAAAACAAAACTGGTGTAATAAGAGAATTAGCAAGTTCTCCTCAGTGTTTGGATTTGGGCTGATAATGCTTAAAGTCTTCTTTTGTTTAAGCAACATTCTTGGGGGGGGGGAAATCCCTATAAGCGGGTCCACTGACATTATTCACTGATTTGTGTCAGTAACTTGAGTCTGGTTGGTCTTGTGAAGATGTGGCTGTCTTATTTGATGGCGGCCAAAGCAAGTTTTGGATGGGGTTGGGAATCCATGCTAGGTTTGCATGCCTGATTGTCTGAAGGGAATTCCCACCCAGTTCCTAGATCAGTGGTTCTCAACCTGTGGGTCGGGAACCCATTTGGGGTCGAACGACCATTTCACGGGGGTCGCCAAACAACGCAGTCCGCCATTTTTTTCCCCCTTTTCCTTAGCTGTGCTACTCCCTTT